GGCTACTTATCCGGCCGCGGGTACCCCGCTTGGCCCTGAACTTACTGATCTAGGAGATGGTCAGGGCGGCCCTCGAGGAGAAGTTTACTCCCCAGCTGAGGAGGCTATAGCGTCAGCATTACAAATCAATGTTGATACTGGCCCCCCTGATCAGGAGATAGAAGTGCTTGGCCTCGATGCCGCAGTAGCAAGCCCTGATGGCCCTGAGCCACCGACTCAGTCGGGCGTGCTTCAACCCATTGCAGCAAAAGTATTGATGAAGATACTTTACGGGGCGAGAATGGCCAGATACGACCTGCCCCGTGCTGCATTTCAAACTGCCAGTTGTATTACAAAAGTGGCAGAACAGCAAGACATGGATCTTCCGCTTCATATGTTACATCAAATGTACGTCCTATTACCGTATGACTTCATGTGTGGGTAACAAAAAGGAAGATGTTCTGTTGAAGCAATACTCTGCAGACCTGGCAAGTGACATTCGCACGCACAGGAGCACGAGTGCGAGCTATCAAGCCATTTGGGGTCCATATTCAAGAGCTGGCCAGTCTATGGGATCGCAGCGACAAACATGCGCGCCCCACAGCACGCTTGAGGCCGAGATCGTCGCAGCCGACCTTGCGTTACGCAAGGAGCTGCTTGCGGCATTGCCGTTTTGGGAGATACTGCTTGATAGACCAGTGCGATGTCTATTCCTGGAAGATAACCAAGCAGTTTGTCACGTCATTAAGGCGGGCGCGTCGATGAAGTTGATGCATCTACCGAGAACGCGTAGAATTGATGCAGCAGCTGTGTCCGAACAGTCTTCTCGTGGCCTCGTTCAGCTACAGTATGAAAGAACGCAAAATGAGGCTGCTGATATAGGAACTAAACGATTTGTTGACCCTATGGCATGGGTCAAAGTCCTTTATCTTGTCAACATCGTTACGCCTAAGTTCTGGCCCGCTAAGCGGCGCCAAGATTATCTTGATTCAACGTTTCTGACGGACTTCCCCTGAAACCCGGGGGGATTCTGAAGCCCCGCTCGGGCCCTGGTTCGGCCTTGCGGAGAGGAGCTGCTACACCTGGCAAAAAGTCAAACAAAAAGAAAAGGCGCCCCAACAAAGGTAAACCCGTCGTGGCCGCCCCCGGCCAAGCCGCGGAGGAATGCGCTCCTAGCACGATCGCGATTGCGAATGCGCCCGGCTCAGCCGATGATGCAGGTAATATCACTCCTATAAAGGCCAACGAAGGTTACAGCAGAAGCTCCGAGAAAACGAGAGCGATCGAGAATACAACCAAGAGAAGCTCTGATCGTGAAATAAAAACAATGCTTGACATAACGGATAGTGAAAATGAGTCAGATACTTCCATGATGCCAGAAAATATGGAAGATATTCTCAACAAAAATCATCCTCTTCCTAATCCGCAATCTGCGGCGGCTGCCAATTTCTCTAACAAAAAGGACGCATGGGTACGACAAGGACAGAGTTTGAAACGATGGCACTCTGTCCCGAGACTCGTTACGTTCATGCCGGCAATCGGTGATTGTCCCGTTGACCTCGAAAAGTTGGATGAAAAACGTCGTGCCTACGCTGTCAATACCCAGCAAGGTTTGACAATTGACCGCATTGATAATTGGCGCGACGAAGAGAGCAGATATCATCACCCATTTGAACACGAATCGAATGGCGATTCTAGCGACGGTGACTATTGTCTGAGTAGATGGACCGGATATACAGAGTTCTGGATCCGAGGAGATTGCGCCCCCGCCACTCAGTGGACCGGGGAAAGACTCTTGTTAGAATACTATTGCGGCCCTGAAAGCAAAATAGGAGACCCAAAGAATTTCGTTGACAACTCATGTAAGGTGATCCGATACACCGAAAAGGAAGACATGAGGACGGATGAGGGACTCAAAATAGCGTTGAACGATATAGATACGTTCAAGGGAAAACATATTACACTGTGGGGTTCTATGCCTTGCACAGGTGGCTCTCCCTGGCAACATGTGAATGAAGTGCATTATTTCCGTGCGGGAAATCAAAGAGCGATGCGTAGGCTTCGGGGTATTAGAACCGATTTCCGATACTTGTTTTGGAATTTCCGGGAGATTGCCCGCGCTGTGCACAAAGCGGGGGGCGTTGTATGTATTGAATGGCCTACCCAATGCAATTATTGGAGAGACCCCCAGGTAAAGAGTTTCCTTCGAGAGTTAGAGTTTGCCAAGACGGCGTTGCACGGATGCGCATACGGATTGAAGGACAGCAAGGGTAATATCATGAAAAAGCCCTGGGCGATAGCCACTACCTCCTCTGTTGTTGCGGAGGGGCTTGAGCGCAGATGCGATGGCACACACGAGCATGTTGAGGCTAGAGGACGAGAATGTAAGAGAGCTGAAGATTACACTGGTGATTTTGCGAAGCAGGTTCATTTCGCCGTTGCTCATGCTGCTGAGAGATGTGTGTCGTCTCGTCGTCGTCCTACCTTCTCTCCCAATCCTATTCGTGCCGCTGCCGCTTCTACTCAACAGCCTGCGCCGGCTGCCCCGCGGCCGGCCCCCCCTAGAACCGAGCGGCTGCCTTGCGGCGACTGCTCGAACCTTGCCTGCCGCGGCCCCCGCGTGCCTGAGAGATCATCGACCGAACCCATGTGTCGACCGCCGAGGAAGAAAGCGGTCAGGCCACCGGCGCCGGGAGAGGACGTTTTTTCCATCCACTCAGATGATATGGTAGATGATTTCGACTCCGACCCAGTTGGAGATGAAAACAAAGGGAAAGGGATTTGTGAAAATGCCCCTCCCAAAACAAGTCGAAAAGCCTCGCCATCGGCTCAGCCGAGTGGGAAGGCTTGCCCGACGGCTCAGCCGGATGGGATAAGAAACAATGGCTTCAGCCCGACCGACGTCGTGTCCGAGATAGATGCCGAGATGGAAACTGATGTCGAGATCTTCAATGAGGGAACAACTGCTCGGAAAAGGGCAGCAGAGACTGCCTCCCAAGACAATCAACGCACAAAGAAAGCAACTAACCCCAATACTGAGGACGTCGACTCATGGAAGAATAAACCGATCTTCAGATGTTGTCCTGACAAATTGAGGGAGTGGTCCCGGCCGGGACCCAAAGAAGGGACTAAGTTCGTGCCCAAGAAAGGATGGGGCTGGCGCTGCGCGATGTGGAGGCATGACATACTCTATATGCGGATCGACACAGTCGTGACCGCATTAAAGGCAGACATGGAATCAACGTCACAGACAATATTTCAGCGTTTATATTCCCAGATCTCGCAAGATCCATGGACTGCACATTGGACAACGTTTGAGCGGAAGGCCACTTGCCGTTTCGATTGTGCCCCTCCTGACCTGGACAAAATCTTTGCTGGTGCGTTCCTTCAGGCGTATCCTGATGAAAAAAACGAAGTTGGTCAGTAGGATGCATGCGAACCCTCCCGGGGGATATCGCGGCATAGTTCGACCGCTCGAGCCGGGAGAAGTCATAGGTCCTACCGTCGGCTCAGCCGTTCGGTATGAGACCCCCTTTGGAAACTATGTGAGCGTACCAGTGGTGGATCACTGGACAGAAGGCCCCCCGCGTGTCTGGGTTGACATTTGGGCGCCTTCTCCCCGAAAGCCTCCCTGGGGCTCAGCCGCTGGGGAAGGCTGGGGGACGATGTTCGCTTTTCCAGTGATCAAAGGCAAATGCAATGCACCAGTGCATGTAGTCGAGGAAGCCCTTCCTGCCACAGCAAAAGCGACATATTTCGAGATTTCTCCCAAGCAGGCCGTGCATTGGCGGAAGAGACAGCGCCCCTGGAAAAGGCCGCAGAATTTTGAAGAATGGCTTGCTGGGGATGGCCTCGACCCAGGGGCTGATGAGGACTCACCGCAAAAGAAGCCGAGAACTGAAGCAGAGGCACCAGACGACCAAGTCGCCTTGGCTAGCCAACAAGCAGTCGTGAGCAGTAATCAGCCATCATTGGATAGCCCTGGGGCGGGAGACAGGCGGCCGGCGAACCACCTGCCGGCCAGCCACCTTACCTCGATAACCCTCCCGGCTTAGCCGGTGGGGGTAGTGGTGGTGGACCGCCCCACGGCTCACCCGGCGGGGATGGAGTTCCACCAGCACCTGGCGGGTACCCCTCCAGAAATAACCCACCCTCAGGAGGTGGCGGAGGAGGGGGGGCGCCCGACTCAGGACCTGCAGCAGCAGGAGCTGAGCCCGATGACCGACCTTACCTCGGGCGTGGCCCCTGGAACGTCCTTGAGTATCTACGGACGCAAGGGGAGCTCGGGGACGATCCAAGACCCCCCATGAACGAATGGCAAGAAAAAGTGGACGAAATTCTGGACCTCTACATTGGGGTCACGGATCCAAGAATGAAATATTGGTCGAATAACCTGGCTTTCGTTGAGGAATGTCAGGCAATTTCCAAGATTGCTGACGTCAGCGGACATTCATGGATCCCGTTCTTGGGAGAAGACCTTGCTGCTATGTCGTCCACGGGGAAACCCGTGACGGATTTCTTTCGCCCGTTTAGCCAAATGAGGAACGGGTCGCATCTCGGTTGGACATGCTCTGTTCATATTCTTTCGGACTCTGCGATCGTGTTCAAAGACAAATCAGGGCCGGCTAAGCCGAGCCTGCTTCCTGAATACAGCCTGCGGAATTCGGTATTTGGAATCGTACAGCAAGCTACAAGTGGAGCACAACTTTCAGGCATTGCCGACGCCTCCTCACGATCTCGATGGGAGGAGAACAGATATTATGTAGAAGGGACTCACACTCCGATTCGTTTCACTTTCTGGAAATTCAACGACATTGTCGACAACTCATCCAAGTTAAATGGAGTTGGGAGTGGACCCAAAAGATACGAGAATCCGCTCGCATTTGCGGGAAGCCTCAGAACCATGATAGGGGACGCCGTGCAGTTGATTGACGACGTGATGCGGCGGTCCCATGAGGGGGCTATGTATGTGCTTGCTCGGGAATGTTGTCTGCGGTGTTGGAGCACCGCCGTCCTTGCAGCATCGGTCCATGGACACGATGGCTCAAGTTTTTTTGGCTATGCAAGTGGCCCGCGCCACGATCCTGGAGCTCGCGCGCGGGATCAGCACCGGGGCGGCCCTGTGGGGCGCGACCCACCCGTGCCCGACCTGTGCACCTGTCGTGTATTGCCCAGCGGTGCCCGCCTCGATGTGCGTCTGCCCGACGCCCTCTCCGCTGGCGGTGGCTGGTGGCGCGCTGCTGGTGGCGCTGCTCATCATCGGCGCCTACCTGCTCGGTGCGCCGTGGGGGCTGCCGACCCGCGAGGTGCGGGTAGGGCACTCGCTCGGGCCGCAGGTGGCGGTGACGGACGACGCGACGGCGCTGAGGCAGCAGGCCCAGGCGCAGCTCACCTTCGTCCGCAGCCGCAGCTCCGCTGTGCGCCACGATGGCGCTTAATCCTGGGGACTATGTGCTCGTGAGATATCGGGGCGTGCCAGGCCCTGTCGTGCATCATGCTCGGTTGGTGGTGGCTGTCCGTCCAGGGACCGCCGACTGCTACGGAGTGACGCCCGACCAGGATATCACTACGAGGAGACGTACGCCGTGGGCGCGGACTTCGAGAGCGTGCACATCCTGTCGCACGCGCTGGAGGCCCCTGCAGGTGCGGCGGCGGCTCAGATCTACGGCTTCAGGGCCGCGCCGGCCCAGGCGGTCGTCGATGCGTGCGCGATGCTGGGGGCCCACGCGCTGGGCGTGCCGTGCGCGCCGCTCTCGCTCGTCGCGCACTACAATCCGCCCGGCGCGGCTGCAGGAGCGGCAGCACCGGGTGGCGGGGCCGCGTTGGCAGCCGCCGCGCCCGCGGCCGTGCCGGCGGGAGCGGCGGTGCCCGCTGGGGGCCCCGCGCCGGCCCCTGCGGCTGGAGCGCTCGTGCCCCCTGGCCGCGTGGCCGTCGCGGGCGCCGACGGCGCCGCCGCGGGCGCCGCGCTCGGCATCCCGCCCGGGCTGGGCGGTGGTGCCGCCGCCGCCGCCGCTGCCCCTGCAGGGGCGCTGGTGCCGCCGCCAGGCAAATGCTGGTATGCGTTGGAGGATCGCGCAGGCTACTCAATTGGAGACCTCGTCTGCCACCAGCTCCCCGCTGGCGCCCTCAGCCTTGGAGATCGAGCCATCGTCCACGGGGCTGGTGCATCCATCTCAGTGGCGCTGCTCTCGATCGCCGACGCACTTGTGCTGGCGAAGGGCGATGCACGCACGATGGCGGTGAAGCATGATGCGCAAGGCGAGCGCCGTCGCACGTGGGACGACGCGGTTGCCAGCTCGTCGGAGGAGCCGATTCCTGGCGGCTGGGACCTGCAGGGCCCGAGGACGGTCCTCTGGTTCATGAAGCATGTGAGGGGCAACGGGAACAGTGCCTTCCACGCCCGCGAGAACTGGGTCCGCCTCTCGAAGGTGCCGTCGGGGGACAGGAGCGTCTACGAGCATGAGGTGCTCAGCAGGATGTTCGACGCGGCGGCGCTGCATGACCAGCTGAACTGCCCGTCGCTGCTCGCGTTCGAACTCATGTCGAGGAGGCTCGCCCAGATGAAGGAGGCCCACCGAGTGTCGCCAAGCCAGCCCGACTACACGGCCGCCGATCAGTGCATGGGCTGGAGCCGTCGTGCAGGAGGGGCCGCGATCTCGCCGGGCCTGTCGGCCCACGTCGCAGACCAGCTCAAGCAAGAGGCAGCGATCATGAAGGAGGCTCGCAAGGCAAGGGAGGAGGCCGCCGCCCGCAGCCAGGGTCGCGGCAGAGGAAGTGGCCAGCCGCCTGCCAAAGGCGGCGGGGACCAATGACGCGCCGCGGGCCAAGGGGGCGGCGATTGGGCCCGCCGGCCCCCCTTGCTCGCCATCCCCGCTACCCCCTGCCGACCCAGGGTCGCGAGGGCAGGCGTGCGCCCAGGGGGCTCTTCGCGCTCCCGATTTTTGAAGAGGCGACGCCAGACGCCCCGCATCTCTCTCATTCCGTTCGCCAGCGCCTACGACATCGGCATGCCAAGGGAGTCAGGGCCAATGAGTGTATCGAGGCCTTGAACGAGCTCTACGGCATGCCAGCTTCTGCGGCGCAGGCACCGCCAACGGTGGACAGGAGCGCGGCCCAAGCAGCGGCTCAGCGCACAGTTTTGAGGCATGTTGATCCCGCTCGAATGCGTTCTTTTTCGCAACAGCGAGAAGCCGCCCGCGAGCTTCTCGGCTCCGACCTCGTCTACGACAGTGGAGAGGTTCCAAGTACTGTGGCCAGGTATGACGCCACACGGATCGCGGTTCCGGAGGAGTTGGAGTTGGAGCAGCCTCCAGCCGCACTTGATGTTCTCGATCCCGAGGGGGCCCGTTGCCTGAGGGAACTTCGAGCGCGTATGATGCTTTCTGAGGATGAGTTCGGCCAGCGATGTGAGAGTGAGGATCCAGTGGTTCCCTACATGGACCCGACGCTGGCCGCAGACGTGCACAAGTATGCTGACTTTGTGGCGCGACTGGACCGCGCGAATGTGTTGAGGTATTCGACAGACGCTCAGGACCTCATCACGCCGTTCTTTGTTCGTAAGAAGTCAGGGCAGTTGCGGATTGTACGGGACTGCAGAGCTGTCAACACTCGCTTCGCCAGGTGCCCAAAGATGAATATGTCGTCTGGGAGTAAGTTGGCGGATCTCGAGTTCGGCCCGAAGGACGACGTGTTCACCGCCCAGGCGGACCTGAAGAACTACTTCTACCACTTGGGCATCTCTGAGGAGCTGTCAGAGTTCTTCGCCCTGCCGGCGATCGACGTCAGCCTGCTTAGGACCAAGTGCAGGCTGCCATCGGACATCTCAGCGCCCCCAGAGGGCAGCATGGTGTCGCCCTGCTTGGCGGTGGTACTAATGGGCTGGAGCTGGGCGATGTGGGTTGCTCAGCGCGTGGTCTATCACCAGTCCGTTTGCAGCCAGGCGGTGCCCGTTGACCGCGTCCTGAGTGACGAGCGCCCTGCGCCCGACATGTCGGGCGGCCGTCCTGCGCTGCTTGCCTACGCCGACAACATCAATGTCGTGGGCTCTGACGCGCAGCGCACAGGGAAGATGCGGGATGATTTGGTTGATCACTTCAGGAGCATCGGGTTCATTGTCCATGAGATCTCGGGGCCCTCGGTTGACGCCGTCATTCTGGGCTACAAGGTCATGGGGCGCGAGAAGCTCGTCGTGCCCACGGATCGCAAGCTGGAGTTGCTGAGGGCCGCAGGGCTCTGGCTCCTTCGGCGCCCCCGCATCAGCGGCAAAGCTTTGGAGCGGTTCGTGGGCCATTGCGCCCACCTTTGCCTTCTGCGTCGTGAAATGTTCGCTATCTTCCATCACGTCTACTCCTTCATCTCGGCTCACGCCGTCAGCCGCTGCCGTGTCTGGGGGTCGGTGTGCAGGGAGATCAGGTGGTTCCTCGCGCTGCTGCCGTTCTGCCGGGTGCGGCTCGGTAGACCTTGGAGCCCCAGGGTCACCTCGTCAGACGCGTGTCTATCTGGATATGCCGTGTGCTCGCGGATGCTGGGCTCCGAGGTTGTCAGATCGATTGGAGCCTTCAAGGAGAAGTCTAGGTACAAAGCTGGGACCCCCGCTATCAGGGCTCGCGATCACGCACTCTTGGGCTCGGACGTTTTCAGCAGCATCAACGCTGTCAAGCCGGCGGTCCCCGTCGAGGCTCCAGAGGTCTGGGACGAGAACCCCATCTTCACCGAGATCCCCCAGGAGCTCTTGGATCCCAAGGATTGGCAGCTCGACTTTGCAGCTCGTTTCCTGGAGGTCGAAAACATCATGGTACTCGAAGGCAGGTGCTCTGTGGCAGCCCTCAGGCACCAGCTCCGCTCTCTGGCGTCTTTCGGCTGCTCACTTCGTCATCTTGGGGATAATCTATCGCTCATTTTGGCTTCAGAGAAAGGCAGGTCCTCCGCCCCAGGTTTGTTGATGATCTGCAGGCGTCTTCTCGCACTTACACTCGCAGGCGACGTGCGGGTGCACCATCGGTGGCACCCATCCGAGCTGAACGCGGCGGATGGTGGCTCGCGGCTCTGGGAGGGGTCGGACGCGCTCCTCCGCGGTCCTGAGGCGCCCTTCTTCGTCCAGGGGCCTTGCCAATCTGACCAGGTCGCTGCCCTTGTCGCCGGAGCTCGTGACAGACATCGTGGAGGTCGCGCGCCCATTTGGCTTGGGAGTGGCCAGCGCGATGGCGCTCGCTGCCGTCAAGGCGCAGTCGTGGCCGAGGTATCTCGGCGCCCTGCGCAGGCTGGCCGCCTTCTGCCTCCTCCGAGGCTTGCTGGCGAATTCGCTGGAGTCCGCCGATTTCGCGATGGCCGAGTTGGTGCAGGAAATGTACACCGACGGCGACGACCGTTCCGCGGGGCAGGTGCTCTACGCAGCCTGGCAGGCGACCATCCCGTCGGCGGGCAGAGGGGGGGCCTCGCTGCCCCGCACGACGCGGGCCCTCCTGGCCTGGTCGCGCCTGGAGCCAGCGGTCACTCGGCCGCCGATGCCCTGGCTGGTCGCGGTCGCAGTGGCGGAGGTGATGCTGGACTGGGGCGAGCCGCTGGCAGCGCTGCTGGTGGTGCTGTGCTTCACGTGCTACCTGAGGCCCTCGGAGGGGCTGTACCTTCAGGTGGCGGACGTCGCGGCGCCGATGTTCCCGACCTCGTCTTTTGTTGCTCTGAACCTTCACCCCGAGGAGAGAGGCCAGACGTCGAAGACCATGGCGACGAACGAGAGCCTGATGATCGACCATCCGAGAAGGCTCTTCGTGGGCGAGGCGCTGCTGATCGCAGTGAAGCTTGCGACCAGCCAGAGGATCTTCCCGTTCTCGATGGTCTCCTTCGCCGCGCTGTTCAGGGCCGCCCAGCTGCGCCTCGGGATCACGAAGCTATACGTCTTGTGCCAGATGAGGCACGGCGGGCCGTCGGAGGACAGGAGGGAAAATGTGAGGACGCCGCTGGAGGTGAAGCAGCGCGGCAGGTGGAGTGCCGACGCCTCGATGAGACGTTACGAGGCGGCGGCCTGGCTTCAGCGAGAAGAGGCCCAGCTGCCGCGGGCCGTGATGACGGCGGCTCTGGCTGCCCTGCACTCGCTGCCAAGCGCCCTCACGGCGTCGTTGAGCCGCCGCCTGGTACCCGCAAGAGGCGCGGCTACTGCATCGAGGTCTTCGCCGGCTGCCGCCGCCTCTCGCTCGAGCTGGCCAGCAGGGGCTACCTCGTCTACACCTTTGACATCGCGCACTCGGCCAACCAAGACATCCTCAGACCGGAGGCCTGGACAGCCCTCCTTGAGCTCGCTGTCTCGTCTGGCTGGGGACCCCGTGCACCTCCTGGTCCAGAGTTTGGAGAGGGGGGGCTGGTCCCGCCCCCCTCCGAGATTCGGGGCCAGGGCTGCTCGGTGTCCCCGGCCTCTGTGACAAGGATTATGCGAAGGTCCGCCTAGGCAACGCGTTGATGCGTGCCTCGGCTACGCTGGCCCGTGCTTGCATCCTGGCGCGCGTGCGCGTCGTCATCGAGAATCCATTCACCTCCAGAATTTGGCTGACCCGTCCTTTCAACTCGCTCAAGCGGCTCGGAGCCGAAATGTATACCTCTAGCTTTTGCCAGTATGGGACCCCGTGGCAGAAAAAACACGTCCCTACTGGCTTTTGGGTGTCCAGAGCTCTCAGCTGTCAAGAGATGCGTCATGAGTAAAGGTAGGTGCTCGGCCACTAAAAAGAAACACGAGCACCTAGTAGGTACGAATGCTATGGGGAAATTCAAGACTTTAGTTGCACAACCTTATCCGCAATTATGTGTAGAACATATCTTTGAGCTGTTATTTAAGCGCTTCGCGTAGGCCGTTGGCCAGTTCCAAGAATTTGGGATTGGGGATCCTGATTTTTGTCTTCGGGCGCCTCCGATCTGTGCGACGCCTCTGGTCAGCTCGCAGGCCCTTCAGTGCTATCGGATATGTCGTTCATCCCTGGCGGCGAAAAATGTGCAGAGCCACATGTATGTGCTTGCTCGGGAATGTTGTCTGCGGTGTTGGAGCACCGCCGTCCTTGCAGCATCGGCCCATGGACACGATGGCTCAAGTTTTTCTGGCTATCCCCAAGCCTACCCCTTTCACCCTCCTGCTCAGCAAAGCTGGGGGATCCTGATGTTTGTCTTCGGGTGCCTCCGATCTGCGCGACGCCTCTGGTCAGCTCGCAGGCCCTTCAGTGCTATCGGATATGTTGTTCATCTCTGGCGGCGAAAAATGAGCGGAGCCACATAGATATAATGTATATCGGTGGGGGGCCACAAGTGCTGGCAAGAAGGTGAAAATGGCGTCGGCCCGATGTGGGATGACGTTGCCACCTTGGTTGAGCCAGGATGAATCGTCGGATTGAACATTACAAAGCAATAGGAATGTTCCCCAGAATAATGGTTCTCGACGGTGTGAGCCTCCACCGACAACTTCAACACCGCCCAGGAGACGATTTCCACTACAGTGCTAGCCACTCGGACTATACATTGAACAATGGAAGTCGCTTTGAAAACGTTAATGCCGGCGAGTTGTGTGCGGATTATGATCAAAGCGGCCAAACTGGCTATATTATTTTTTCTGTCAGCCTTCCGGGGGCGCAGCCGTTCGGGACGGTCACATAAAGTGCGCAACTAGGGAAGATGGATACGCCAAACAGGAGGCGACAGTCCAAGACCTTGTCATGTACTGGCAGGGCTGGTCTCCCGAAGAAGGCAACATCCCCACGTCGGTATTTGGTTCGCTCCCGTTCAGGGTGCCTTTGACCGATATTGATTTTCCAACCGTTTCAAACGGAACTGGGGGTGGTGCAATACACTCATTTTGTTCAGCAGACTTTAGAGATTTCCTCAAAAAGGGTGCTGCATACAGTGACTTCTTCCCATGGACGGATGATGCTCACTTCTTGCCCCGCGGAGACATTTTCCGCCCTGGAATGCCACCAAAAGGAAAGAGCCAGAGACCAGCGAATGAGGGAGTGCAAAATGATGATCCCATGCGTATAGCACTCAATGAGTTTAACAAAGCAGCGCCAGCGGCAGCACCGAGCGGCTTAGCCGTTGCGGTGAGCAGCGCAACGCCAGGTGGCATAGCTGTCCCTGTACCCGCCGAGTTGTCGGCAGGCGCTGCTGCTGTGACCGAGAAGACAAGGCCCGTCGGCTCAGCCGCCACGGGCTTTGGCTCCAGCGCGCGGACGGCTCAGTCGCCTAGCGCTCCCCCTCTGGCGCCGCCGTCTGATGTCAAAGAAACCGAGACACCTGGTGAAGCAGCAGAAAGATACATCCGCGAAAGAGGCCCAGAGGGAAAGATGACTACACTCAGTCAGCGTTACAAATTTCCGAGGCGGCCAAAAGAAGGGAACCCTGGATGCGAAGAACCCTTCTGGCCATATTGCCACCAATATCAGCAGATAAAGAATCTGCCTTTCCAAAGTTCGTCAGCAACAGAGGTTACTTACCATGACTTCCTTTGTCCGTTTACGGTTGCCAGCGGGAGCCTTCATCGGGGCATGACGCCCATGCACGCCTATCCGGGAGAAGAAGGTCGCGCTGCAGAGGTCGCTCAGGGAAAAGAACCGGCTAGAAGCCAGCAGACAAAAATGACTTTGAAAGATGGTAAGAGTGAAGCGTGGCTTGCCTTCCAGTTGCTCCAAAAGATGACAAGGGTCCCGCCTGCGACACGGAACTATATAGTGCCGAACTGGGCTCGTTTCTTCAGGATCAAGGCCGATAGGTCGATAGCAAGCCCGGCAGCCACTGTGGCTGACCGCTTGAATTGGGCTAAGTTG